TTTTTGTGGGAGAAGGCAACAACATTCTGTGGCGTTGGTGGTAACTCGCTGTGTCCCATTGGTGTCTGTACCGCAGAAGTGTGCTTGGGTGATCAAGTGTTTGTCACAGAGTTTACGATTCTTCCAAGGAGCACACACGACATAATCCTGGGGATTGACTTCCTTCGAATGTGTGGCGCCACTGTTGATTGTAGAAATGGAGAGGTGTACATATGTGATGCTGCCCCTGGAGAACTATTAGAGAATTCAGACAGGGAGCACGGTGCGCTCCGGGTCAGTGAAGATAGCATTGTGCCGGCATTCTCTGCAGTCTGTGTTCCTGTATACTCTTCACGCATTGAAAACAGTGACAGTGCGTTCGACGCATTAGTGGAGCCCTTTCATCTCAGTTGCATTAAGAAGAACACATTGGTGCCGCATTGCATAGTGTCACTCGTTCAAGGACGCACAGGACTATGGGCGGTAAACTGTTCAGCTGAGTCGGTGGTTCTACCAGGAGGACTGAAGCTTGCCAAGTTCAAAACATACTCACCGATGGCAGTGGCTGCCCTCAGTGATGCTCCAGGTGGGGCCTCAGCCAATACTTCTACGGCCGATTCAAAACTTTTACCTATGATCGACAAGTCACTTACTACTGACAAACGCCGCATGCTTCTGGACGTTTTGTCGAAATACGTGGCGATTTTCGATTTTTCCCATGACCATGCGCCCTCGATTCCCGCGTCTCGGATTCTCCACAGGATAAACACGGGAACAGCACAGCCCATCCGCCAGAAACCCTACCGAGTGTCGCCGTCTGAGCGCAAGATAATTGATGAACAAGTGCGTGATATGCTGCAGAAGGGTGTCATTCGAGAATCATCGAGTCCTTGGGCGGCTCCCGTGATTCTAGTCAAAAAGAAGGATGGTACCTGGAGATTCTGTGTGGACTATCGCCGTCTAAACTCCGTCACAAAGAGAGATGTCTACCCTCTCCCACGCATTGATGACGCTCTAGACTGCCTCCATTCAGCATCCTACTTTTCGTCCATAGACTTACGCTCAGGCTATTGGCAAATACCTGTGCATTCAATGGACAAAGAAAAGACGGCTTTCGTTACTCCGGATGGACTATATGAATTTAACGTGATGCCTTTTGGTCTATGTAACGCGCCCGCTACATTTGAAAGATTCATGGACACCATTCTGCGCGGCCTGAAGTGGAACATCTGTATGTGTTATCTTGACGACGTTGTTATCTTCGGGCGTACATTCAGTGAACATAACGAAAGGGTAGAGCTGGTTTTGAAATGTATTCGAAATGCTGGCTTGGTTCTTAATGCAAAGAAGTGTCATTTCGGAGCTCGACAAACACTGGTGCTGGGACATCTCGTCAACAAGGATGGCATCAGGCCCGACCCGAATAAGACGGCGGCTGTTAGAGCTTTTAAACCACCTGGCTCAGTGAAGGAGCTTCGGAGCTTCTTGGGCCTCTGCTCTTACTTTCGCCGATTTATTCCCGCCTTTGCAGAAGTTGCCTTTCCACTGACCTGTCTTCTCCGCCAAGGTGCTAGTTTTGAATGGACTCCTGATTGTGAAACTTCTTTCAACCAACTGAAGTTCTTGCTCACGTCGCAGCCTATCCTGCGGCACTTCGATCCTTCTGCGGCGACTAAAGTTCACACCGACGCAAGCGGCATTGGCATAGGTGCAGTCCTCATACAGCGATGTAATCAAGTGGAACACGTAATCGCATATGCCAGTCGTACTTTAAGTAAGCCGGAACGCAATTACACTGTGACCGAACAAGAATGCCTTGCACTCGTCTTCGCTGTGCAGCGATTCCGCTCATACCTATACGGTCGTCCTTTCCAAGTAGTTACGGATCATCATTCTTTGTGCTGGCTTATTAACCTTCGGGATCCGTCAGGCCGTCTAGCACGCTGGGCCCTCCGGCTGCAAGAGTACAACTTCACGGTATCGTACAAGAGCGGCAGGAAACACGCGGACGCAGACTGCCTTTCAAGGATGCCAGTTGATGCTACAGTTTGCGACGCTGACGATTTCGATCATCTGATTGCGTCCGTAGCACCAGCGTTCCCGGATAAGGCCACCTTTGAAACTGAACAGCGGAAGGACGTGAGTTTGAATCCGTTATTCGTGATCGCACAAGCATCCACTCCGGAAAGCCGCTTTTGCGTCCGTGATGGTCTACTGTACAAGAAATCCATCTCCGGCACCGGTTCCCGCTTCCTGCTGGTGGTTCCAGAGGCACTACGGTCATCTGTTTTGTACGCCATGCATGATGACGCCACTTCAGGTCACCTCGGAACGACGCGCATTCTTCATCGTACCCAGGAACGCTTCTACTGGCCACGTATGCGCCAGTCAGTTGAGTTGTACGTGGCCAGTTGTGCGCAATGCCAGGCGCACAAATCTCTCTCAGCAGCTCCGGCCGGACATCTACAACCTGTGACGCCTCCCAGTTCTCCGTTCGAACAAATTGGCATTGACCTGGTGGGCCCTTTTCCGCGTTCATCGAAAGGCAACAGATGGATTGTGGTATGTGCTGACCATCTTACTCGGTACTGCGAGACTGCTGCCCTGCCATCCGCGACTGCTGGTCAAGTGTCGTCCTTCCTTCTCCATTCTATCATACTGCGTCATGGGCCCCCTCGCGTCATCATAAGTGACCGTGGACGTCAATTCACGGCAGACGTTGTCGAACAACTTCTCCGTATGTGTGGCTCAGAGCTCAGACACTCGACGCCTTATCACCCGCAGACGAATGGTCTCGTCGAGCGAACAATTCGAACACTGGTGAATATGCTTTCTATGTACGTTGCTTCGAACCACAAGAACTGGGACGATGTCTTGCCGTTCGTCACATACGCGTTTAATACTTCCCAACATGAGACCACCGGCTACAGCCCGTTCTTCCTCCTCTATGTTCGACCCCCCCGTTATACTCTGGATACAATATTTTCCTTCTCTGATCGGGACCAATCAGAAATCTCCCTAGCAGAAACTCTTTGTCTCGCCGAAGAAGCTCGTCGTCTTGCTCGTTTACGTACAATAGCCTCGCAAGACAGATCGAAAGTTCGTTATGACAGCAAGCACCGGCAGGCCACATATATTCCGGGAGATCTCGTGTTGGTGTGGAAGCCTTTACGCAAACGTGGCTTGTGCCAAAAACTGCTCGCGCACTACATCGGACCTTTTGTTATCCTTGACCGCCTGAGCGCAGTCGACTACCGCATCGCACGTCTTACAGCTAGCGGGAGACGTTCCAGAAAGACAGAGGTCACGCATGTCGCTCGCCTGAAGCCTTTCAGTCAACGCGACACTGCATGAAACGCGCGGCGCGCTTTGTCTGCGAGGGGGGAAATGTTACGCCACGTATGTGCCGGACGAAGAAGGAAAAAGAAGCAAGGGGTGTGGAAGAAGAAGATCATCATCATCTGCCTGCGCCGATACGGCTCGTCCCTCGAACCGTGTATCAATAAACCCCCAGACGCCTACTGAGGTCGTAACAATATATATATATATATATATATATATATATATATATATATATATATTCACGGCCAACTCTGCAGTACTCTCCCACGGGAAAGTTATGCAGTTGTTCTTCTCTTGAAGTACTCCCCTCTACTTCTGCGATTGTTTACCTTGGAAGAACAGACTGTTGGGTGAGTTGATAATTCGTGAAATGGTGGGAAACTGCGCGAAAAAAAAATGCAGACAGGGGAAGAAAATGGACAACATGCGTGCTTATATTGTCTGTTTCTTCTATAGCTCTACGTTTTTCGCGCAGTTTAACTCAAATGGGTGTTACTAGAAAAACGCAGTGACCCTCGATACTCATCTGGACCATCCAGCTCCGTCCGCCCTATTAACTAAACAGATTGCTCTCTGCTCTACAGACATAACAACAACATGATCGTTCACACATGAAGGCGGTCGCACTGAAACTGCTCGCACTCTATAGGCTTTGAAAACTTGTTCGCGCATAAAACGGATCACGCAATTTCCACGACCGTTTTACGACTTCGCTCTTCGCGCATTGTCACACAGGATGCCAGTCAGTCACTGCTGTTACTAATCATTCGCGATTTGGAATGATTCATTCACACATGATCGAGCTTCTTACGCAAGTTCATCATTTTATGTCCTCTGGAGTACAAAACATTGCATAGAGGGCGTTATACATATATTGTCCAGCGTAGCACGTAGACAAGGTTTTCTGTCGCTTATAACACACCGCCCGCGAAGCTTTCAGTGCTTCGGAAAAAGGTGTACAGACATGCGCGGTGGTGTGGCGAGCCTCTGCTGCACAAGTCCACTTATCAAATTAACTGGCACTGCGTTCAATCGATGCTGTGATTCACAGGGAACACAGCTTCGCAAGCCCATACATCGATGCGAGATAGACAGGCGATAACCCCGCCCTGTTTCCTCGCAAATGGCCCCTAACCACCTCCGGTAATTTTTTTTAACGTTTCGTGTAAATGCGTGCGTCGAGCTGAGAATGGTAGCATAAACGCGTATAACCGTCCGCCATTACTACACCGTTTCGAAAAAAAACTATGGCTACGCTACCGTTGTACACTCGTGCACAACTGAAACACAACTAAGTTTCGGCCACTGGGTATTGAGGGACCATTGATCGTTATGTTGAAAACATGGTGATTGCTTTACAAGCAAAGCGCAGGCAGGTTCGCAACAAGGCGCGCGCAGCACGACGCGACAATGCTCAGAACTGTGGCCTAGGTGTGACGGTGCTGTGCCGGGCCTCCACACCCCTTTCCCCATCACAACTATTGGGAGGAGTACCTGCTCGGCTGCTCGACTTTGAATGCTCAACGCTCCTTGTTGAGGCACGCTCGAGCAGCGGCCAACTCCATTGGCATCCCAGAATAGGGTCTTGCCACTCAATCATGCATTATGCCGCAACTCTCTGGTTCATTTTCTGTAATAAAAATGTTTCTACCACCACCACCACCACCACCACATCACTGCACCACACCCGAATATGAATGTCGCTGATTACCAGTCAAATGCGTGGTATGTGGCGTGCAAAAACGTCAATGGAAGTCTCCGCAGCTCCTTCCTCTTTGTCCAGTGTCCACGCAGAAACACCATGTCATTCACTCCGTCGTGTGGCGAGCCTAAACGTTGAAGTGCTTCAAACAAACATTGTCCACCTTTTTGATCAAGGCCGCTGCACTTAAGCAAATAATTTATAGACACAATCTTACAAGTAGGAAACAACAGCGTCGCGGCAAATCTGATCTTGTAGAGCCATGCATGCTGGTGCGTACGCTGACCCCATGAGGATGCGATGTAAAACGTTTATCACACTTGTCTCACACATGAAATAGACTGCGTCTGACTATTTTTTTCTGGCGTCTTTCACGCATAAAACGGCGCAGAAGATGACATGTTGACTGCGCACCCAATGAGGCTGGTACCTCTGTATATATACGTATATGCGTGTAGCTCAAACTTCATCTGTCTATTAGGAAGCTAAGATAGCTTGTGCGCAAACCATTGTGAAATGCTCAAATAAGTTAAGTTTGCAGCAAATGGTTCAGTTCTCAAGCTTTCCAAAGCACTTAGGCACTTGCCACGGCTTATTCGCAACCATTTCTTTTGTTTGTTTTCGGAAAACCTGGGCGCCGACATTTTCTCGGCACGACAATGAGATGCCGGGGCCGATGATGGCCGGGTCGCGAATGTGTGGGCGCTCCTTGTGGATTTTCCTGCAGAATTTGTGTATTTTACAGGCTGGTCATTTAACACTTTCACGCAAGCGCACAACACGTAAGGCCTGTATAATGAGCGTCCACCGCAGCGAAACTGGGCATTCACGCCTCCCAAAGTCAAGCCTTGCCATTGGTCTCCAGTTCGTCCTCTATGACCAGCGGCCTCTTGTTGCTGAAGCGGCGCTCCAGGTTAGGCTTGCACGAAGAGCGCCTACTGGGCGAACTCTGTTGCTGAGCGGCCACCGCTGTCTGCGACGGCAGGTGCTTGCGGTACGGCCCCGTCACGGGGTCGGCCGGCAACGTAGTGGCGGCAAGCGGCGGCACCTGCTGGGGATCGGACAGGTGTCCCACCGAGGAACTAGCGACGAGCACCCCCGCCGACCGCGTGCCGCGCAGTCGCGCTGCCAGGCGTCCGAGCGGCGCGAACGCTACGAGCGCCACCATACCCTGTGCGGCGAGGCAGCCGAAGAACGCGTACCACAGCTGGTGCATTCCCAGTGCCACGGCGAGTGGCGGCGAAGCCCAGGTGACAACCGCGAGCAACACGATCGCGGCGAGCCGGAAGAAACGGACGCGGTCGGCACGGAACTCGGCTTTGGCCGGCTTCGTCTGCGGGGGCGGGCCGCCGCAGAGCCTCGGCGCGACTAGGCTTAGCAAGGTGGCCGCCGTCAGCAGCATGGCCGCGATGGGCACGCCCAGAAACACCGCGGAGCCCAGGGAATCGTTGAGTATGCACAATGGCTCGCCGTACAGCGGTCTCACGGGCCAATCCGGCTGCAGCCTGTCAATGGCCAACGCCGCAGCGACGATCATCACGGGACCGAACCAGCAGAGTAGGCCTATCTGGCGGATGGAGCGCCCGTCAGGACGCATGCTGCGCAGGGCGTGAAGGGCTCGGTATGCGTCGCAGGCAAGCGCCGCTGTCCAGGCGACACATGCTAGGTTCCAGTAGTGCCAGACCACTGCCAGGGCGGCGCAGCCACGGCTGAAGGGTTCGATGTGGGGCTCCAGCAGGAGAGTGAACTGCGACAAGATGGCGCTCGCGGCGAGGCAGGCGGCCATCTTGTGGCGGCGCACGTGCAGTTCCAGCAGCCTGGTGACCAGGAGGACGGCGAGGCAGAGGATTGATGCTCCCAGTGCCAGCCTCGCGACAAACAGCAGGGATGGCGTCCATGTGAAGCTGATGCGGTGGCAGGCGCAGGTCAGTGCGTACCAACCGATCGTCTTGTTTTGGTCGTTCACCTGCAAGTCACAGTTGGGATGGACACGCTTTGTATATTGTCTGCCTTTTTTAATGCAACAGTTAACATTCGCTTTACAAAGCAACTTGTCAATGACGTGCAAACTGATTGATTGGTTGATATGTGGGGCTTAACGTCCCAAAACCACTATATGATTATGAAAGACGCCGTAGTGGAGGGCTCCGGAAATTTTGACCACCTGGGGTTCTTTAACGTGCACCCAAATCAGAGCACACGGGCCTACACCAAATGACGTGCAAACTAGGCGCGCAGATGTGTGCATGGCGTCGCGCTGATTGTCTCTCAAATTTTCAGGTGCAGCATGTTGACGAAGAGATGATAAAACATTCTATATTCTCTCGCTTTGCGCTCTGAAAGATATCACGCCAGCTGGGCTGCAAAGTTGTCTTAAGCAATCGTTCTGATCGCAATTCTAATCAATTGCTTATATTGCGTTACTGCCTGGGATGTAGCAGATGTTAAGCCGCCATATAGCGCAAACTGAATGAACAACAAAACATAATAAAAAAGCAGAGGCATAGCCACAAATTTTTCCAGGGGTGGGAGGAGTTTCGTCTGACCCCTTGCCCCATCCCGTTAAGTTTGGTTTGCCTGTTCGAACCCTGTACCTTGACGCGAGTGACGAGCACGCAACTCTCATTCTGCAACGTTCGGAACATAAATGCGAAGCAAAAAAAAACATGTGCAATAGATTAATTGTGCCTTATCGTAAAATCATTGCACCCTAGGCGTAATCTGCAACTTCTTGTGACGATAAACAACAACGTAGACCGGTAGGCGTTCGGATAATCTCCCTTATGAAAACAATCCAATTTATGTGGGTGCGCAAAAAGAGAGAACATGGAAAAGGCAGGGGCTGGTTACCCAGACCGCAATGCATGCCCTGCTATCTATCTATCTATCTATCTATCTATCTATCTATCTATCTATCTATCTATCTATCTATCTATCTATCTATCTATCTATCTATCTATCTATCTATCTATCTATCTATCTATCTATCTATCTATCTATCTATCTATCTATCTATCTATCTATCTATCTATCTATCTATCTATCTATCTATCTATCTATCTATCTATCTATCTATCTATCTATCTATCTATCTATCTATCTATCTATCTATCTATCTATCTATCTATCTATCTATCTTCTACTTGTTCATAGTGTTTGTACTAACTGCGAAGCACTCTACAGCCATTCGCTATAGGGAGGGTAGAGATGGTGCGAGAGTACCAGATGAAGGAAACTTTAATTCAGACTCCAGCAAGAAATTGGTACGCCTGGTGTTCATCCTTTTTGCTTGACACAGTTATCAATTTCTCGGTAACTATACACAGCCAAACCTTGATACAGCGTACGAATTTCAATGTAACGAAATTCCCGATGTAAGTGAGTACCTCACTTCTCACTCTTTTGTATCTATCCTTCTCACCCTGAATCTCAATATAACGAAACGTGGTTATGGATGTTTTATAGAGCGAAGTTCGCATATATTTGAGACGCATTCTTAGAAAAGAAGGCTGGAACTTCACTGAACACACACACAAATAGAAACTCTGTGCATTTTCTAGGCGGTATCTGTCTAACTGACCGTACAACTATAGCCATCCTAGCACGAAACAGCAAAACGATGGAAGGAAGAACAACAAGAGAAGAAAGGCGGGGTCGAAGAATGCGAGCGTTAGTTTCAAACTGTTTACTATAAAATGTGCGTACACAATATTCAGTGAAAGCTCGTTCATTCGGAATTAACGGGACCGGAAGAAAACGTTCGAATGAACCGAATGCCGAATTTTTCTCGAAAACGTCGAAAACACGTATCAACAAATGCCTGTTACAATTTCAGTTCCTTGACGAATAAGTCAACCTTGTACTTACTTCTGCAAATGCAATTTAAAAGGCATGGCATCATTTCTCTTAATCTGCGGCTTTTTCTCCAGTGTGGCCCCGGTGCCAGATAACCCATGTTAAATTCAGCCCGAAACGTGCTTGGCACACACAATCCCCTGACGACATACTCTCTTGGAAAAAGTTAGTAAAAAGGTAGCAACCGCGAGCAAACAGGTAGTAACTGCGGCGCTTACTACCTTTCTCGACCAATTATTACCCTTTTGCAACCTGTTTACTACCTACGTTAGTAAACAGTAACTGGAATGAAATAGGTAGTAACTGCATTCGTTACTACCTTTTTGCTACCCGGCTGCTGATTATTTAATCCAAAACAGTGTGTGATTCTGATTCTGATAATTTATGAGAGGAATCGTCTGAACGTATCATTAAATGGAAAAATGACGCAGGAGATATCCATTGCTAGATCAAGATAAAAAAATGTTTTATATTACGCAACCGGGATATGTAAACGTCATTCTGATATTGTCGAAACGAAGAAGTACAAGTTAACAATCCACAAGCAAGTGCTACACGCGTTGTAATAGACAATCACACCAAACTCAGTAAATTACAGAAAAGTAACATTACTGCGGCGGATCAAAATAACTAGACGGTCACAATTAATCCGGAGGACGGTCACAATTAATCTACGGCGGCGTTTCTCCAAATAATATCGTTGTTTTGGTACATGAAACTCCAAACACAATTATTACCTTTCAACCACTGATATACTAGCTGTGTGAAGCATTCAAATGAAATGAAACTATGTTAATAAGTACGGTACCTTGCCACTGTAAATTATGCCTTTTGGTGGCCATTTTATAATAAATAGATATGACATATATTTTTTAAAGTAAGGATAATTAAAAGCCTTGTGCTTCGTCCCCAAACGCATGTAGTCAGGTAGTATGACATAGTGCTGCAGAGTCACATTTGCTATAATTCATCCAGAAAGACAAGTGCTTCCCTGTGCCAGACATGCACCTGCAAAGTAAGGGCTATATATACCCTACGTGTACTTCATGATGTAGCGTAAAAAGATAGCGAACTTCTTAGGTCAATGTATTCTTCGCATTCATTGCACACCACGCAAGATTACCCGAAGCTGTGTTGTAATGAGACTTTGATTGACCAACATTAGCAATGAAGAAACACTATGCCAAGATAAATGAACGGGGTAGTATCAGTTGACACTTTTAAAGTTTTTCTTGAAACCTTTAAAGGTTACTACCCATGGGTGGTAACAGCCTAGGGTAATAACAGTTACTGAATGCTCGTAGTAGCAGCAAAGGTGGTAAATTTTACCACCCTTGCCATTACTAACTGCGCTTACTGCTAGGGTTGTAACGTATGTAACAAACCGTTACTACTCCAAAGTTGGCAACTACTACTACTACCTTTTTTTTAAGAGAGTACTGCTAATAATTACGACGCGTGCGTGACGATGATGTTTTCTCAGGCAAAATGGCGGGCCATTAACTGATAGTACGTCCGTCGCGATGCAGCAAACGTACTATATACAGCATGCCAACCGCGGCTGAAAGTTCTTCTTGCATGTACGTTCGAGTTTTGTAACATTACACGTGCACATAAAGTCGAAGCGAAGCTGCCGAGTGCGTGATCCACATGTGGACAAAACCGTCGTGAATGGGTATTTTTAGAGTATATCGATAGTGGGCGTTGCGGGCATAGCGTTTGCGTACAAGCCCCATACGCGTTCTAGAATAGCGTTTGCCCTCGCAAACGCTATTGCATGCTCGCTCACCGCGTTGCGGGCCGCACGCTATTTCGGATATCCTGCGGGCGGACCGCAAGCGCGAATGGCGGCTCGCGTTACGACGCATGCGCAGTGGCAGCGACCGCGCATGCATCAAATGCTTGCGGTACGCTATTCCAAAGCTCCCTAGTAACTGGTGAAGATAGTGTCACGGATAGATAGATTTCGGTGCTCTGCGGACGCCGTTTTTGCGTTTCTTGCTTCGCACATTTTCGGGGCTTAGCGCTCGGCTCGATCCATGCATCATGTGAATAAACCGGGTTGTGGCCAACTGTGACCGAATGAATGAAGGCTTGGCGCCGTTAAACAATGCATATGCTGGCCGGGACATGAGAACACGAGCGAATTATCCAATTTTTTTTCAATTAACAAAGTTCGAATTAACGAGTTTTTACTGCAATGCAATTCACCGATTTACACAACGTACCAGAAAGCCTACCGGCAAGGGTCACATCATACCACACTTTCCATAAAACGATCTCCCCGAAGAGGGAAGTTGGGGTGTCGCTGACACACGAGTTCCCCATTTTCAACAAATGCCTCCAATCGTGCAGTAGCGACCCTTCGATGATGCTTTTTTTCCAGGAATAAATATCTCCGCGGCATCCACCCGTGGCTTACACTCTATCTTTGCCTTTCGTCTTGTTGGAAATGTTTTTCCCCCATAGCTTTTAGAGTGACATGTATAGGACGACAAAGCTCCTCTCGTAAATGTACAGTAAATAATTTCTTGGGTATTACGTGGCAAACCTCTAGGTTACCAAAATGAAGCTGAATTCTAGATTAATTTCCACCACTTAAGTTTCCTTAATTTGTCTCAAGCCTAATCCAAGTACGTTGGTGCATTTCACCTCCACGAATATGAAGTTGCCGTGACCGGAATATTAATGCTGCTGGTGTTAATGATGCATGCAATCCTTCATCACTAAAAAAATCTGTATTTTGGGCGAAAAATATGTACGTGAGAAAATTCAGTCTGTCCGTTTCGAGTAATACGGTGGTACAATTGGTAAAGTTGCGAAGAAGTCCTTCTGTTTGAAGTGTTACGGTCATTCCGTGTAGTATATAGTGGTCATTCAGTTTTCAAGCCAACTGATAGAAAATGTATTTACTTTCATGGTCATGTGTCAAATTCTGTTTAGAGCGAGACGTATGCATGTGACCATGTGAAAATAACTTCTGGGTATTTCGTATCTAGGACATTATGCACAATTCGTCTCTGTGTGGTCGTATCATCATCCGGAACCCGGAGCGCAGAAGGCCAGGCGATCAAACAGGATCATCTACGGCAAATAATTATTTATCTCTTTCTGCCTCTATTCACTGAAGTAGAAGAAATGTCTCTCAAACAAATGCACATTCGGTAATATGGCTTCCATTTTATACGCAAGCATAACGCTTCATTCAGCCACCAAATGTAGTTCTCACCTCAGCCACCAGCAGAAACTGGTTGGGGGCGAACACCTGCCCCCGACTAACGTTGAGGAGCAGGGACCCGTTTCGTAGCAGCACGACGTACTTGGACCCCAGATGGATGACAGGACACTCGGGCGGCGGCTTGTCGAACGGATCCGGCTGGGCGACGTCTTCGGGCACGCACATGCCTTCGGGTCCGGCCACCAGACCCGGCGCGCAACCCACTGGCAGGCAGGCCCCCGTTAGGTCGTCCCTCATGCGCCGGTCGTCGACGCATTCGAGCGGGGCGTCCTCGGGGTTCCTCCAGATGCGGAACTCGATCTGCCACTGGTACGAGACCACGTTGCCCTCCGGCTCGAGGTCGTCGGCGTACGCTCCGCACGAGAGCCGCTGCTTCTGCGTCACGTCGCACAGCGCGCAGTGGTAGTTGCGGTAGTTTCTACGCGACACCCTGTCGTGCACGTACGCCGTGTAGGCGCCGCAGCGGGACACCAGCTCGGCGCTGCCGTTGCGGCACCGCGGGGCCACTTCGGCACCCGACGCGCAAGAGCGAAGCAGATGCGCCTGGGAGAAGGACTTCCAGCCGGACCTCTGCACTCGGAGCATACAGCGGTGCTTTTCGTTCCTGTCCGTCACCAGAAAGCGGTTGTCGCCCACGTAGCTCAGGTTGCCGACGGCTACGAGCTGGCGGAGGGACCGCTCGTCGAAGATGACGACGGGGCCCGGACCGCGACCTCCGAGCGGCGCGCTGTCGCAGTCCAGGCTGGCGGGCCACGTAGCGAGCCGGACGGCATCTCCGTGGCACGCAGCGCAGAAGACATTCCAGTACATGCGCTCTGAGTCGCTCGAGAAGACGGGCACATCCTCCAGGTAGTGTCTAATGGCAGGAACGACAGGGTCACTCTCGTCGCCGCCGTAGTCGTTCTCGAAGCCGTCCCTGTCTTCCCAGCCCTCGCATAGTCGACGCACGGCGTCGTCCGGTGGCCAGCGGGTGGGACACGTCCTGAGCGAGAAGAAGCCGCTCGGGTGGCACCGCCAGGCGTGCGTCGGCTCCCGGCTGGGGCTCCGCGGGGCGTCCACACAACAGTCGCCGAACGTGGCACAAGCGTAGTCGCACTTGCACGCCAGCCGCGTGCTGTCGGGCCGCCCATTAGAACACAGGTCGTCGTCCGAGTCTGGGCAGAGGCCGGCATTGAGACGGTCGCTTCGTATGCTGCGCCAGTTGGATGCCAAAGCCTGAGCCAGGCCAGCGGTCAGGATGAGCTGCGCCGCTAGCCACATTTCCGGAAACGTTTTCGATGTGTCGTGTAAGACCTTCACAGATAGTCGAAGGAAGCGACCATGAAGCTTGGGCGAGGCAGAAAACGTCGATTTCAGGCACGGGACCGTCAACCCCTCCGCCTTCACCCAGAACGTCTTCCACACATCAATCACAACTGGTGCCAAGCAAACATCTCGGTGCTGCCAGCGGACGGCGTAGTCGTTGGCCGGAGGCACAGGCGTTGTGATGTCGCCCACGTGGTCGGACCGTCAGATGCATGCGTCGATCGACACCGCACAAACAAAGGACACTGAAACTCAGTGCGGGACCATATGCGGCCTGTTTACATACGCACACACAAATTCACATTCGAAGTATCGAAAATGATATGCCTGCGAAATGTGGGCGCAGTCCCTCAGAGCCACCGATCCGGCGCTTGCGAACACGTGGTTTCTTCCTCGACCACGCCCGTCGTCGACATGAGTCGCGTTGCGATATCTACAGTGCTATCTTTTCACCAGCCGCTCACTCTTCGCATTTCCGCGCCGACAATCTTGAAAAGCCCGCTAGAAAAAAGTTCCAACGGCATCGTCGTGGCACGCTATAGCGGTGGCACACAGTCCCGTCTAATCCCGGTCGATCGGCAACTAGGTTTCACTGTTCCAGAACCCGGCAGAGATGACAGCCCAGGAGTTGACCGGAAAGGAAGGGATCGCTCGGCAGGCTCGTAGGCGATGGTTAACGTTGATGGGCACCGGCGCGGCGCGCGCTCCCTGTCTAGGGCAGACAGGCCCGGGCTGCGCCGCCTTGTCGGCCGCCGGGATCGTGCGGAGAGGCCCACTATTTTGGGGGGTCTCACCCCACGGCCTGCGCGAGCCACAGACTCTCTGCTGGTGGCAGCGCGCCGTTGTTCTGCGAGACGCCGCGCTCTTCTTTCTCGACAGCGAAATCGAGGCCAAAGCTTCTCGGTCTAGTACGCTCTTCTTCGCCCCAGCTCCTCCTTTGTGCAGAATGTTTTTCAGGGGAACCGAGCTCGCGTGCCTCGCGGTTCGGTTGGTTCAGCTCGGTGTCGGCCGGTTGCCCCCGAAGATCAGTGGTTGCTCGCTGCTTCGCCAGAGTTCAGAAAAAAAAAGTATAGCGGCCGGGGTTTGTCGGCCGCTGGAATCGGAGAGAAGGTGAGGAGGAGGAGGGGGGGTGTCAAACATCTTTCGACGCTGGAAACGCCGCCCTCGCGAAGGGCTTGCTCCAAGTTGCGCTCCGCTTCGAAATGCCGTGCTCCAGTTTTCCTCTTTCTTCCTTGCTTTCCTCGTCCCGCATCCTCTGAGAGCTTCTCACTCGGTTTTTTTCTTGTCTAAAAGGATAGGCGCAAGTTTGCGAGGTTTCCCACTACATTAGATCAGTGCCTTTCTTTCTTTCTTTCTTTCTTTCTTTCTTTCTTTCTTTCTTTCTTTCTTTCTTTCTTTCTTTCTTTCTTTCTTTCTTTCCTTCCTTCTTTCTTTCTTTCTTTGTTTCTTTCCTGCTTTCTTTGCTTTCTTTCTTTTTTCTGTCCTTCTTTGTTTCTTACTTTCTTTTTTGTTTGACAAACATCTCCTGGTAGAGGAGACAGTTGGAACAACATTCGAGGCGCGCGCCGCCTCCGGCCACGCCACGGGTTTTACACAATGCACTCGGGCTCGAGCCGTCTCGAAATAGCGAAGCGGCGATTCTCCCGTTTTAACGAACAAAATTAGGATGCCGCGAGTGCAAGAACTGCGACAGATTATATCTCCCCTTTTCTTGCGCACAGCCGCGTACGTGGATATCTCCGCCTATCTAGAACGTGGCCAAGCGAGAACGGGCTCGTTTGTTGGAGTGTATACGACGAATAGTCGGGAGCTGAAAGAAGAAATGGTGGTACTGTCGTCTTCAATTAGTATTTTAAGCGTAGAGCATTTTAGGGGTTTGGGCTGTCGTATGCTATTGTTGCTTGACGTAACGCAGTTAAAACCATGCATCAAAATAGGAAAAAAAAAGGAAGCAAGCGAGAAATACAAAGAGGGAGAAAGAAAACGAAAGAGAACATAAATAGGGAAAAAAAGTGAAATACCTGCAAAGACCTTTTGATTAAAACAAGGAAGACATCGAAAGACTTCAGTGGCTTCGCCTTACTGTCAAGCCTGTAGATAGTGCGGAGGTGGACAGCATTCTTCGTTTCTCCTCTTTAACATTAGCTTAGATTAGCTTGAGCTCGATTAATTTGACTGAGACTAAATACACATTCCTAAAAGCGTTTCGCTCAACATATGCACTTCGTGACTGTGGCCCTTCCGCGGGTGATGATCGTGTGTGAATTGGTATATATACGCAGCTTTGAAGCGGCCGCGCTTAACGTAAAACCAGAAATTCCCGCTTCAGTGAGGGAACATTAAGACATGCCCGTAAACAAAGTATATCTGTATACGCGGATCACGTGCTAAAAAAATCACCCTTTGTTGGTTACCTCAAGCCCCTGCGAGCTTTCCTTGCCGAACGCTTGCTTCAAAGAAGAAAGAAAATAAAAACGTATTTATTTTTGCGCGCGCCCTGCCGGAATGTATGCCGGCCTCTTCCTGTTGCGAAAGAGGATGCTTTTCCTAAACACTCAATACGGCACCCAAAAGAAGAGCCACGGTATATATGGGACACGGAGGCGGCTCGTTTAAGATGTTTAATGGTACGGCGACTCAATTTGTGTACACTGGCTTTGCAAAAAATTGGGGGAATCCAAGTTCCGCCTTTGAAAGTTGAACGCAATAGCAGCATCCTATTCCCTAGCGCACACATCAACCACTTCGTGCATTTAATCGTATAATGTTACTCGGTAATTTTAAACTGTGGATTACTACAATGTAACCGATAAAAGTTGAAAGTGGCTTGTGTCAGAGAAGCTTTCGCATATGGCTGCATTTTTTTTTTGTCATGGGTTGCATGCTTTAAACCACGAGCAATCATACGCGTGAAATGTTTTCGAACTTGCTATGCGTCCACTACCAGGGCCCTATCCAGTGGATAGCATGCCGAGCCTGTGCTCCTTCCTCCCCCTCGAAAAATTTTCGCCAGGGCATATTTAAAGAGCGAAAAATGACCGTTTCAAGGGGCTGCCCGCCCTAATATCAAAAAGCTGCCCCCCCCCCTCTGAAAATAATTTCTGGCTTCGCCTCTGTCCACTACGTGGTCTTAAGGGAATACGCGCAGTAACGTGTGTGCCTTTTGTAATGGGTGGCCGGCTTTAAAGAACGAAGTGGTTATGATCATAATAACATGTTCTTCCACCCCATGGCAATGTACGCATGCACCACGCAATATTACGGGGGGATGGGGGTGGTTCCTAAATGAAAAGAAGATAAAAGTGAGCCCCGTAACTGTCTCTCAGGGGGAGGACACCTCAACAGTAGCTCACGAGTGATGGGGGTAAGGAGGGATTAAAAAGGAGAGGAATTAAATTTATAGAGAAAGAGAGAGGAACAGGAGGAGAGAGAGGCGCAGGGACAGCCACATACGGAAGTAAGGAGAAGATAGGAAAGATGGAGACAGTCACAGAAGCCCGAGAGCGATAGCTCTTGTCGGCGTCAGGAGATGGCGGAGGGCGAGCCGGTCGGCCAGAGCTGCGCTGTCGACGGAGATCGCGGGGGTACAACCGGCACGAAATCCAGCGAGCGAGTCCTCAATATTACCGCGATATTACATGTTGTAATGTGAAGCCTGTATACTGGCCGCCCATATTTGTAAAGCATGAACGTTATTCGCACTGCTTTTCCAATCAGCTGAGGAAGTTAATTTAACTATATATGCATCCAAGCAGACGCGTGGGTGTGCGGTAGAACACCTGCTTATCACGTGAACAGCTTAGGTGTGATGCTTATTCGGACCAAGAAGTTTTTAATATTGGATTCGAAGCAGCTCTTTGACTAGCATGTGCAATGCTGTTCCTCCGTGTGACCGCACCGTAACGCGCTCTTCTCGCCAGAGATGTTGGAGCGGTGCCAAGTACGTCATGATGCAGGTGGGTGTTGACATCACGCTCCCCTCGCAGTGTGCACTGACCCCACTTTCTCCCTCGCCTGCGGCGCACTCGCCGCAGCGCCCGCAGCTGCCCGCCTCATCCCTTCGCTCGCAACACCTGCCACTACCACCGCTCGCGCGCGCTGACGCAGCTTTACCCCTCTCCTGCCGCGCACTCGCCACAGCGCCCGCAGCTGCCGCCTCGTCCATTCTCTCGCAACACCTGCCGCTACAGCCGCTCGCTCCGCCACCGCGACCACCGCTGGCTACACCGCCGATTCGTTGATTTAAGCACAATAAACGTTACACGTGACTATCGTACGCGTTGAAACATGTCTGTACGTGTAACCTCTCTCTTCCTTCACACTCTCCACCACTCACAACGCTCGAGCACATATCGAGAGGTAACACACTTTCGGCTCGTTTAGTCTCGATAAAGAGGGACATCGCTTCAAACGAATCTTCCAGCAATCACTGCAGCACCCGCGTTAGCGCCGTTCAAACCGTGACGCCACCAGTGCGCAACGCTGCCGCTTCGCATTCCATTATATTTCACGTTGGGAGGATGGTGTGAAATTATTTTAATCTCATCTTTCTTGAATTTTCGGTCACACATGCTCTAATAAAGCGGCAGTCGGCTGGCGAAAAATCAGATAAAAAACTTCGGGTAGGGTGAGACTGAAAATGAGCTGCAAACCTTGACTGTACAGCACTGGTAATAGAAGCTATGACTATAAAATTTGCAAAAAAAAAAACTTTAGAGCTAGACGCACGTAGCGTTGGAGCTCAAAATTAGTTTTAAGCTGTATTTAGTGTTTATTATTTTATTTTCAAGATTTTAGACATATGTGCCTTTTGTTGAGATCTAATAAACGCAGAGCATTGCAATTTCGCACAAAAGCAGCAACCATTGCTTCGCAGAAGTAGAAATGAAATTCAGACCATACAACATAAAATAGATTCGCTATGTTCTCTTTGCATTTCTCGATGTCTGAATATTGCCACTCATAACCGTTTTCTTTGTCAAATACTAAGAGAATACAAATGCACATAGGTTTCCGGCTGCATTTTCAGACATGTAAATGCCACACCTAAAGTCCCAGGAGGATTTTCGTTTGCTTATGTTCAATAGGGCCCGAGAAAAAGGTACACAAACTTCCAAATGTTTTTTTTTTCTTTGAGAAAATTCTTGAAAGCACCTAGAGGACAACCCGCGCTTCATAACAACCTTCGAAGGAAAAAAGACCCAACATTAATTTTGAAATCGCGAGTGTCCGAGCGTGGAGAAGTTTTCGAACGATAAATAAAATATCTGTAAATCTTCAACTCTACTGTTAAAACGAATATCAGGTATGAAGAACATGATCCTCATGCTAACTACATTCGATGGCACGACGTTTAAGAATGCTAAGAACTAGAACCTTTAGTGAAATGAATTACTAGGCTTTTTTTATTTTTTTATTTCGCATGCAGGCACATGCCGTGCGCCACGGCTTCCCTCTACAGGCGCGGTTGGCAAAATGGGTTGTAGATGCTATGCAGACGGTGTTTACCCGACTCTCTTTTGGGCTGACCTTATACACGGAGGAACCGTGCGAAACGCCTAGTCATCCGACACGGACCCTGTCGAAGGCAAATATAGGTGCGCCCGGAGAACCAGCTCACCGCCGCGCCCCCTGAGCCGAGCCAAAGACAACGCCAAAGACAACGAGGCTGAAAGGCGAGCGAACAAGGACTTTTAAATCGAGCCTGCGCCCGGAAAACAGCGCGCTTCCCTCATTCCGTCGCTTTCGTGTTGATCTTGACTCCGATCCAAGCGGGGTGGTCTGCGGAAGCGAAACGGGGGCTACAATAATTCCGGTCGAAGGTTCCGAGAACTTCCCTCGCGTTTGTACCTTTACTGTATACCCCACAGAAGGCACGCCTTCGTGTTAGTCTTTTTACGTCTGTGTAGCGTCTCTATTTTATAGACTCATGATAATAGCTGCACATTTACACATAGGACAATATATACATAGTCTTGCCAACAAATGTATTGGAAGTGCCTTGTG